ATGCATCCACCATTCATCACCATTTTAGCATAAACTGTCAGTGTTGTTTGAGGGGTCCACCATGAATGACAAGAGACTCCTATTGCTCTAGAAACTCCAGCAACGTAGAGGTTATCTCCCAGGGGCTAGGGGCAAAATCAGACCTCTCTTCAGGCAGGATAAATGCTTTACTACTTAACCATTGCAACCAAAATTTGAATTGTGTTGAACTGGTATTATTTAACTAAGTCATGGTAACTGAAATTCATGCATACTGGAATCATGCAAAGCAAAAGCTGCATATATATATGTAATACATATATATATGTATTATATATACATAATATATACATATACACACAAATATTTATACACACACATATATATACACACACATATACATACATATATTTCACATGCATAAATTGCTCATAAAAATAAATAACTTATTTTCTTATTTAGAAAAGTGATTTGTCCGAATCAAAAAAGCCTTAAAAAAGCATAATGATCTCATACTGTGACTCATAACATCAAATATATTTAAAAATTTATGTCAAAAGTTAAAAATAAGCTAAATTTAGAAATGTTTATGTTTGAAGAAATTTAATTCAGCTATTTTAATCAAATTGAGAAATGTTTCTGTCTAGTGTTCACTAAAAAATATATGGAATTATATATGTATCATAATCAAAACTGTATTTTAGAAAGCATACTAAAATTTTACTAGTAGTTACCTTTAATCTGTAGAAAGAAAAAACTAATTGCTAATTTAGTTTTGTTTTTCTGTATATTTCAATTTTCTGTAAGTGAGCATTTATTAAAAAATTAACATTTAAGGGGCACCTGGGTGGCTCAGTCGGTTAAGCGTCCGACTTCGGCTCAGGTCATGATCTCACGTTTCATGAGTTCAAGCCCCGCATCAGGCTCTGTGCTGATGGCTCAGAGCCTGGAGCCTGTTTCTGATTCTGTGTCTCCCTCTCTCTCTGACCCTCCCCCGTTCATGCTCTGTCTCTCTCTGTCTCAAAAATAAATAAACGTTAAAAAATTTTTAAAAAAAATTAAAATTTAAAACTCAAGATGTAAACGTGAACATCCATGAAAGTTTGTGAATAGTTGTGGGTTTGATATGCTTCTTATGGGGGGTGCCCTTGTAGTTACCTTGGGCTTTCATAACAAAATACCAGCTGGCTGGGTAGCTTCAACAACAAAAATTTATTTTCTCACAATTTTAGAAGTCTAATATGAATGTTCTGGCCAAGTTGGTTTTTGGTGAGGATTTTCTACCTGGTGTTCAGATGGCTGCCTTCATGTCCTCACACGGCCTTCTCTTGGTGCTTGCATGCAGAGAGAGAGAGAGAGAGAGAGCATGTCAAGCTTTCTGGTATCTCTTCTTACAAAAACACTAATCCTATCAGATCTGGGCCCCTGCCCTTATGACCTCATTTATCCTTCATTACTTTCTTAGAGGTTCCATCTATAAATACAACCATACTTGGGGTTAGGGATTCACTATATACATTGTGGAGGGAACACACACATTTAGTGTAACAGGCACCAACTGAACACTGGAAAATGATTTTAAAAATAAGATATTTAAGTAAAAGGTGTCATGCAAGAATTTTGGGGGCATATAACCTTCCTGAAGTTATGTGCAAGATTATCTTGACATTTGTTTTGGGGGTGGAAATAGTGCAGAACTTCTATCAGATGTTCAAATGATTTGTGACCTCAGAAAGTTAAGAAACACTTAATTGGAGAAAATTCACTAAAAGGGACACAACAGATGAATCAAGAAAAAGTAATATTTTGATGATGAAAACAAGTCAAAAAGTGTTTTCTTAATACAGACCAAAGACAGTGTTGCAAGAAAATTGAACGCACGGGCTTTGCAATGGGTGTGCCTGTGTTTAAAGTCCAGTTCTGTCATTTTCACTAGAATTGTGACTTGAATGAAGTTAGTCAACCTCTTGGCGTCTATCGCTGAGTCTGTATGAGCCACCTCGTTGATATAATGTCCCCAGGAGGCAGGTAACAGTATCCACACATAGAGGTAAGGAGCCTGAGGCTTACCCAGCAAGGCAACATAGAAACACACTGTAAGAATTAGCACACAATCTGGCATGCAGAAGAAGTCAGCAAATTGCTTGCTTCCACTCTAATTGGACTATAATATTTATTTATTTATTTATTTATTTATTTATTTATTTAATTTGAGAGGGAGAGAGCATGAGCAGGTCAGAGGATGAGAGAGAGAGAGAGAGAGAGAGAAAGATAATTTTTTTTTTTAAATGTTTATTTTTGAGACAGAGAGAGACAGAGACAGAGACAGAGCATAAGCAGGGGAGGGGCAGAGAGAGAGGGAGGCACAGAGTCTGAAGCAGGCTCCGGGCTCTGAGCCGTCAGCACAGAGCCAGACGTGAGGCTTGAACTCACGAACTGCGAGATCGTGACCTGAGCTGCAGTCGGACGCTTAACCGACTGAGCCCCCCAGGTGCCCCAAGAGAGGAAATCTTAAGCAGGCGGCACACTCAGTGCAGAGCCTGACTCGGGGCTTGATCCCACGACCCTGGGATCATGACCTGAGCCAAAATCGTGGGTCAGTCGCTCAAGCAAATGAGCCACCCAGGCGCCCCTGTAACATTTATATTTTTGTTACTGCACAGTCCTTCCTACCCTATCCTTTCTACTCCTCTCCACAAGTGAACATTTTTACCTCAATCCACAATTCTTGAAGGAGTAACTATGCCAAACGTGATGGACTAGATTTTCCCTCTGAGGAAATCTCTGGGATGCAGGTCAGGCTGAGGAGTCACAGAATGATGCATGTCCTTGGAGGGGGTTGATGTCAAGACAAAAAACCTAGGAATAGAATGTAGTAAGTAATTTATTGCTCAGAATGATCAACTTATGATTATTAAGGTGAGTACCAAATTATACCCATTTCAGAAAGACTTCTATATTATTCTTTGTCCCCATCAGAAATGCCTTTGAAGAGTTATTGGTGTCAGACCATCCTTGGGGGCCCAGCACAGCTGAGAACAGACAGACACAAATCTCCTTGGGGCACATGACCATAAAAATGCCTTTTGTACTCTCCATATCTGTCATGTTTGGTAACATTAGTAGACTTATACACTGGATTTACATACCAACAAGAATTTGTACAAAATTCTTGGTCGAAATTTGGATCTCAAGAAAGGACGGTAGTTAATTACTTGAAGTAGTAGACCTACTGCCACCTTGTGGCAAGGTTACAAATTTCAGGACTAAGGAAAATCAGGCAGTTTGTTAATTTTCAAAACCACAACAGATGTCATATTACTAAATCACACCGAGTCAAAAGAATTGTCTACTTTTGGGAGGGATAGCTGACATTTAAAAAATTAAGTGAAGAGTAACTTGTACCCATTATAAAATTATTACACAATATTCCTGGAGTGGATTTCAAAGTGCTGCCCAACAAACAGTCCTCAAAAGGAGTTGACAAACTTAACTCTTATAACACACATTTTTATGATGTGAAATTGTTGATAAATCTCTTCCTTGCCTGAATTGTCGGTTAGTTTTATTGCAAAATATACCCCCTCATCTCATCCTTTTTGTTCATTCTTTTCCCTTCATGATGACATTCAGGTGTAGTGGGAGAATGTATCACTTGGGGTTCTTAATCCACCAGAGTTTGTAGCATGATCTATGTTTTTTGACCTAGCTGTTCAGTGAGGTTAAGTCATGTGTTTAGTTAGCACATGAAGCCAATGCCACAGTATGGAACTCAATTCGTTTCTATATGGGTCACTTAGCTTTGCATTATCTCATGGCCACAGTATGTGGCTTTAACCAAGTCTGGTCAGCCATTATAAAAATATGCACCAAAGTTCATCAAGGTTTTTATGACAGAAATCCACCAACACCACAGGAAAAAAAAAAAAACAGTTTCAGGCAACTATTCTCTTTTGTAAGTGATTAGTGTGGTCATGTAAATCTAAGGCAATAAACACTCTGCAACAATGTATTGATGGGCTATTTATTATTTATGACAGCCTGGGATGTACACACACTTTGCATATCAAGTTGCCAAGGTCCAGTAAGCGACAGACACAATGCCACTGACAGGAACTTGGAGGAAAAAGTTGTCTTTTGTTTGCATCTACCATTTTACCAGGACTTTAAAACGCCAAGTATTTCCCAGTCTTTATTGTTATAGGAAAGACCCGCGTGCATGGGCGCGCACCCACACATTTGTCAAAAGACATGTTCTTGACAAAACTGAAGCAGGGAATCATAGGCTCATGTTATCTTTCTGCTAAGCCTGTCTGGTGTTTGTAGATGGTCGCCTGGCAGTCAAAGGTTCTGTTGAGGGGATCTAGGGAAAGAGTTAGTATCATTCATCTATGCGTAATAAAGTTACGCAGTTAGAAAACCAGTTGTACATAATGGATGTTGGCCAATGATTGTTTAGCAGAAAACACTCACATTTGGGTTTTCCCAGTGTAAAAACCAAAAAGCAAGAAAATACTGCTAGTGGCCTCTCTCCCTCAACGTTTCCGCGTTCAACCTCGTAAATTTGAATTCTGTTAATATGTAACACAGCTTTAAAGAGATTCTGAATTCTAGGGAGAACATGATGGAATTTTTTTTTTGTTATCTTAAGGCAGACTTTTGATCTTCAGAGTGACTGCATTTATGGAAAATTATTTAAACCGATAATGGAACCAACTTTTAACACACTAACAGGCAATGAGCCTCTACTGACCATAATTCTAATCAATTTATAGGGAGTAAGAAAGTTTTTCAGAGCTCCCCAGTCAGAACATTCAATGGTTCTCTTGACAGGAGAGTCGCTAACAATGGAACACATCTTACAGAGGATAGTGCAAATAATGTTTCTTGATTAACTACATTCATTTAGGTACTGAACTGCGAAGTTGTAATAAAATTATCCTTACTTTTATGGACCTAACACATGTTCATATCCATATTTTAGAAGTCAAATGATTCTTCATCCACTTACTGCCTCTTAATCTCATTCTGGGCCCCACTCCTAGATGCAATCATTTTTAGCCTGTTTAGTAACATCTAATTGTCTTACTTGTACATCCCATATTTTGTTGCCATTTTAAATTCTTCCTCGTTGCTCATTATTTCTATTATTACTTAGTTAGTATTTATTATTTCCATTATGGATAAATGAAGGATTGGCTATGTTACCCCACTCCCCCCAACTTGCTCTGTCTTCCTTTCTATTATGTCATTGTACTTGACTTTGGGTTATGGAAATCTTTAGTGTTGCTAGCACGTTTAGAGGAAAGCATTTGTTTTTGGCAGCTGTCCTTCCTAATCCTCCAGTGTGCTGTCTGGCTCTGTCCAACCTGAGACCTCTTTTCTTTTTTAATTTTTTTTTTTTAACGTTTATTTTTATTTTTGGGACAGAGAGAGACAGAGCATGAACGGGGGAGGGGCAGAGAGAGAGGGAGACACAGAATCGGAAACAGGCTCCAGGCTCTGAGCCATCCGCCCAGAGCCTGACGCGGGGCTCAAACTCACGGACCGCGAGATCGTGACCTGGCTGAAGTCGGACGCTTAACCGACTGCGCCACCCAGGCGCCCCTGAGACCTCTTTTCTAACATCCTTTGTACCCAGCACTCCAGGCACAAAGCACATTTTCTTCTTTCTAGGGCGCCCTGGAGCCTTGCACGCATTCTTTCCTGTCCTGGGAATGACTTTACTCCTGTCCCTACATTGCAAACTCCTCATCCATTTTAAGCCTCACCTTTTAAGAAGTCTTCTCCAACTGTCCCAAGCAGAGGCTGCCTTTGTGCTCCTGACAGCATCCCCGTATGTCTGGCAGAGCAATTATTGGATTAAATAAAATTCGAGGCAAAAACTGATCATTGAAGACTGTCTTCAAGCTTTTCATCTTCTTCTAAACCAGAATTGGAAGGGACAGTACCGAAAGACAAAGTGGCTAGGAATGGTAAGACGTTTTTCTCTGAGGAGACCAAGGGACATGTAAGAAATATTAGGAGGGTCTTATACTCACCTAGAGTGAGAAACCCATGTAAAGTCCACGGAGCACACCGCTGGGACCCTACCAATTTGCTGTCCCCAGCCGTCACCATGGGATAAGCTGGGGACTTCCCAACTCCAGCACCACATCCAGTGTCCCCACGGCACTTACGTCCAGGAATCCCAGGGGAGACACAACATTATAACATACCCACTTTCCGGGTGGTGTTTTCCTGGAATCAACTCCCAAATCACATACCTTCCCTTGTTTCAGAGTTGGGTTCTGGAGAAACCTAAGTTAAGAGAGCACTTATTTTGAAATTTCTTTGGACTGCGTGGATTGTGTCTGGCTGTCCCCACTCACTCCAGGACTGAACTGTGGGGTCCTTGATGTGACTAACTTTCCCACCAGGCCGGCAGGCCTTGTCTTTGATGGATCCAACTCTCGACAGATTTTTGTGAAGTGAATAAATGCATGAACGAATGAAAGATATCCCATAGGAACCACTTAGTAATAAAGGAGATTTTGCAAATGCTACAGTTTAGATTCCCTACTGCTTATCTACTTGAGCAAACATGCAGGCTTGTCTGAACTGGTCCATATTAGGTAGTGAAGGAAGCTCACTAAATATTTTAGTCACATTCACACTCCCCAAATGAGTCATTTTTTCCAAACCTACATAGCATATTATTGGCTCCAAAGATGTTTTCACTCTTTTTAAAAAAATAACGTTTCGGCAGAGGAACTTTTTATTTAGAGTTTAATGGTCCCAGAGACTCATTAATTTTCTTTCTTGAAACACGGAAATAAAACATTTCCATCTAGTTCTAAATCATTTTTATGAAGCTAATTTTCTCCACCGCTGAATTTAGAGAAAACCTTCTTAATTCAGAATCAGACATTACATACTATGTGTTAAGTCTTAAGTATATAAGTATATATTTAAAGTAGCTTATTTTCTGCACCATAGAGCAATACAGCATTGAAGTTGATATTTTAAAGAATCAAAATACAGAAACTGAAAGGAGTAAGCGTTAATTAGTTTTAGTTTGCCAGGAACCAGGTTTAAGACACTAAAAAAAAAATATTCAGCCAAAGATAGTTGATACTCTTCATATCACATGCATAGTTTGAAAACATTACAATTTGAAAGCAGACTCTTAAGTACAAATGATTGTGTCCCCACCCAGCCCCTACTAAGAGGCCCGAGCACACACCAGCATAGTTTCTAACAGCTCAAGGCAGCATCCTCAAGGCAATCCCTCCATCCCCATTATGTTCCCGTCCCTCGTGGAAAAGGTCCAGGCTGTCAAAAGAATTTACTGTTCCAACCAACACCTGAAGATAGGACCGCTCCCTCCCGGTCTTTGTGAGAGTCTAGGAACCTGAGTTTGGTAAGGATAAGCGTGAGTTAGCCAGCTCAAATGGCCTAGTCACAGGGACCAACCCCCTTTCTGCTTTTAGGGATTCCTTTCCCTGTCTCCACCGAGCTCCCGCCCACCGCCCCCACTCCCTCCCTAGGTACTCACATTCTCTTTAAATTGTGCAGTCACCTTTCAGAGAATCTAAGTTGAATGCTGTTCATGCTGGGCTCTTTTCCATATGGCAGTAGTTATTACTGATTAAAACCGGTCCGTAACGTTTTAACTAATGTCTGGCTTTGTTTATCTTTGACAAGGTCCGGTGCACAATGAGAGCACAGGTAAATAGCATGAGAGTGTCATTAAAGGTACTAAACATAAAATTTTTTTTCCTCTTCCTTCTTCCACCTATTTCTGGGCTTGCTATGTTTTTGACACAATATTTTTCTAGTAAAGAAAATTCAAAAAACTTTTATTGAGTTATAATTGACGTGTAACAGTATATTAGTTTCAAGTGTATAACATAATGATGCAATATTTGTATATATTGTCAAATGATGACCCCGATAAGTTTAGTTAACATCCGTCACCATACATACTTACAAAAGATTTTTTTTTCTTGTGACAAGGACATTTAAGATATACTCTCTTACCAACTTTCATATATGCGACACAGTGTTATTAAGAATAGTCACCATGCCGGGGTGCTGAGTGGCTCAGTTGGTTAAGCGTCAGACTCTTGAATTCAGCTCAGGTCATGATCTCGAGGTTTGTAAGTTCAGGCCCCCACATCAGGCTACACGCTGTTTGTGCAGAGCCTGCTTGGGATTCTTTCTCTCTCTCTCTCTCTCTCTCTCTCTCTCTCAAAAAAAATAATAGTAATAGTCACCATGCTTTACATTTTCTCCCCATGACTAATATGTTACTAATGAAAGTTTGTAACTTTTGGCTCCCTTTACCTATTTCTCCCACCCCCACCTCTGGCAACCACCAATATGTTCTGTGTATCTATGAGCTTGGTTTGTTGTTGTTGTTTAGATTCCACATATAAGAGAGATCATACAGTATTTCTTTCTCTGACTTCTTGCACTTAGCATAATGCCCTCAAGGTCCGTCAGTATGGTTACGAATGACAAGATTTCATTCTTTTTTATGGCTGAATAATATTGTAGTGTGTGCATGCATGTGACACCGTCTTTATCCATTCATCCTTTGGTGAGCATTTAGGTTGTTTCCAACTGAAACAACTACTGAAAATAATGCTACAATGAACATAGGGCCACATATATATTTCAAATTAATGTTTTCGTTTTCTTTGGATGAATAACCAGAAGTGGAATTGCTGGATGATGTGGAAGTTCTATTTTTAATTTTTTGAGGAACCTCCACACCGTTTTCTATAGTCACTGCACCCAATTTCCATTCCCAGTAATGGTAGACAAGAATTCCCTTTTCTCCACATTCTCACCAACACTTGTTATTTCTTCTTTTTTTCATCATAGCCATTCTAAGAAGTGTGTGGTGATATCTCATTGAGGTTTTGATTTGCATTTCTCTGATGAGAAACATCAAAACATCAAAAATGATGTTGAGCACTTTTTCATGTACTTGTTGGCCATCTGCCAACATGTCTATTCAGATCATCTGCCTGTTTTTTAATTGGATTTTTTTTGCTATTGAGTTGTGTAAGTTCTTTACATATTTGGGAAATTAAGGATCAGATATATGATTTGCAAATACTTTCCTCCATTCAAAAGGTTGACCTTCTATATTGTTGATTGTTTCCTTTGCTGGGCAGAAGCTTTTTATTTTGATGTAGTCCCACTTTGTTTTTGCTTTTGTTGCTTTTGTGTTTGAAGTCAAATCCAAAAACTCACTACCAAGATCAGTGTCAAGAAGATTACATCCTATGTTTTCTTCCAGAAGTTTTATGGTTTCAGGTCTTATATGCAAGTCTTTAATTCACTTTGAGTTAATTTTTTGTGTGTGGTGTAAGATACTGATCTCATTTTCATTCTTTTGAATGTGGCTGTCCACTGTTCTCAACACCATTATTGAAAAGTCTGTCTCTTCTCCATTGTATATTCTTTCTTTTGTATATTTCTTTTGTCATAAGTTAATTGACCCATGCCTGTGTGAGTTTATTTCTGACTGCTTTATTCTGTTCAATTGATCTATATATCTATTTTTGTACCAATACCATACTGTTTTGATTACTATAGATTTGCAGTATAGTTTGAAATCAGGCAGTGTAATATCTCCAGCTTTGTTTTTCTTTTTCAGGTTTGCTTTGGCTATTCAAGATCTTTTGGTTCCACACAAATTTTAGGGATGTTTGTTCTATGTCTATGAACAATGCCATTGGAATTTTGATAGGAATTGCATTGAATCTGTAAAATGCTTTGGGCATATGGACATTTAAAAAATATGAATTCTTCCAATCCATGAGCATGAATATCTGTGCATCTATTTATGTCTTCTTTAATTTCTTTCAGCAGTGTCTTACAGTTGTCAGGGTATAGGTCTTTCACTTTTGTTAAATATATTTCTAAGTATTTTATTCTTTTTCATGCAATTATAAATGAAAGTTTTCTTAATTTCTCTTTCTGATAGTTTGTTATTAGTGTATAGAAATGCAACAGATTTCTGTATATTGACTTTTTATCCTGTGACGTTTTATCCTTATCTATCTATTAGTTTTAACAGTTTCTTGGTAGAATATTTAGGATTTTCTAGATGTAATATTGTATCATCACAAGTAGTGATGGTTTTACTTCTTTCCCCATTCCAATGCATTTTATTTCTTTTTCTTGCCTGATTGCTGTGGCTAGGACTTCCAATACTATGTTGAATAAAGTGGCCAGAGTAGACATCCTTGATGTCAGAAAAAAAGAGCTTTCAGCTCTCATCATTTAGTGTGAACTTAACTTGTCATGTACGGCCTTCAGTGTTGAGGTACATTCCCTCAATACCTCCTTTGTTGATAGTTTTTATCCTAAGTGGATATTGAAGTTTGTCAGATGCTTTTTTTGCATTTATAGAGAATATCATGTATTTTTTATCTTTCATTCTGTTAATGTGGCAGATCACATTGATTTGTGAATGTTGAACTACTCTTGCATCCCTGGGATAAATTCCACTTTGGCCATGGTGTGAGATCTTTTTTTTTTTTTTTTAACTTTTTTTAATGTTTATTTATTTTTGAGAGACAGAGAGAGAGAGAACACAAGCAGGGAAGGAGCAGTGAGAGAGGGAGACACAGAATCCGAAGCAGGCTCCAGGCTCTGAGCAGTCAGCATGGAGCCTGATGCGGGGCTCGAACTCAAGAACCTTGAGATCATGACCTGAGCCGAAGTCGGACGCTTTACTGACTGAACCACCCAGGTGCTCCTGTATTGTTGAATTTATTTTGGTAAAATTTTGTTGAGGATTTT